GTAAATAAAACCATTGCGACCCAAAAACCTAGCAAATTCGACAAAAAAATAAATAAATTTAGGAACTCCCAAATGGCCCGTATTCTGAGAATCACCCCAGTGCTTATTTACTCTCATGCAGACGAAAAGCTTCCTTTACATGTAGCCTGTTAAAAACGTTAACACTTCATGTAAACTACGAAACGAGCCCTTGATGTAAGAAACTAAATTATATATCCTAATGTAAGAAGAGAAGGAAACATTTCCAGTTGTACGGATTGTAACGTGTAGTAAGTTGGCCTATCCTGTGAGCCTATATTGCGACATCGCCCCTCCGGCATGAAATTGTATCGAAATCCGCAACACTGAACATATAGGTGTTCGCTCTGACCGAGGCACCGACCACCTTGTACCGGGTTTTAAACTACGTTGTCGGTGTGGTTGCATGCATGTGTGCCTTGATGTGTGCACCACAGAAAATTCAGTTTATCAGCAGAAAACTTGCTGGCTGGCAATCTAGAAATTTACTTCATTTATTTTGCTGTCTGTTTCGGTACTAAGGTAATGTGGAATTGCACTCTGACCGGTGGTCGCGGCTGCATCACGCACTGCCGCCCCCCACCCCCCGCGCAGTGTGGTAGGAACGTGTCCGTTTTACAAAAAATAGAGATTTTACACAAATAGTCTTGCCATAGTTTCAGGCAATTGCTTTTACCTGTAAATTTACAGGAGACCAGTAAAATAAAGCTTTACAGTTGGCTTGCAATAACACCAGCTCAAATCTATCTCTCTCTCACTACCGAAGGATTTTTCGACCAATATATATGCTAGCCAAGCGAATCGTTTTCCAATGGCAATTACGCCTGGGAAATTTATTCTGTGAAATCTAATATTTTACGGCAAAGTTTTCAGCGAGGCTCATGCGATGACATGGACCTTCGCCTCTAGGAGTGATGGTGGCTTTGAAATTCAGATTAACCAGCCCATGTGGAGATCCCGTTTCATGCCCTCGCCAGGCTGCCAGTAAGCATGCGGCGCTTCGCGAGCACGTCGGCTGCGGCGGTATGTGACGCCATACGGCCGCAAACTACTGTTATTACACATGCGATAAAATTCATTCAATCTGGTGCAATTGAACGCAAGTGTGTACACTGTTAAAGATAACCTGGCGTCACACGGCGTGATTTAACTGTGTACCAACAATGTTGTTTCTATTTGAACTCTATCGAAACTGTTCGGCCTGTATTGGCCCACTACCGATAGCACTTGGTATTATTTTGCTGTAAATTAGAATAAAAGTCTTGTTAACTTTGTTGGCACATGTAGCACACTCGTAGTCGGAGGGGAGAGTGGGGCCAGTAGGGCACATTGGTCCGTTTCTTTTTCTTTCTGCTCCCATTGCTGCATGTGACGTGCTAAAAATTATTTTCCTTTGCCAAGTGTAAGTTTGGTCCTTACTTTACCCCAGAAAACCGGTCGCAGCACATTTCTTCGAGTAATGACTGAGAAAAACCGAAACCCGCGGAGGCCTTGCTTGTGGACCAACAATGTGCCCTGACCTCGGGCACATTGAGCCAAGCTGGAAAAGGTTACCGTAAACAGTCACCGCTGTATCCCGAATACCAGTACGGTGCGTAAGTGATATTCTAAAAAGAAAACATCCAGTGCAAATAAAATAAGTCTTGTGCAAGACGGTTCGAACTGCCCCAAGCATAGCAAATTCAATTAAATGGCTCCAAAATATAATTGGACAGTCTATACTCATTGGAATGTGGGCGCAATCTGTATCAATTCAATAGACTTTCTCATAAAACTCGGATCGCAACCGAAAATATTTGATTCATAGCTCGAAATCAGCTGGTTATAAAGTAAATACATTTAACTTTTTCCTTATTTTGAGAGGAAAAGAATGTTCAACCCCTGGTCAGTGCGATTGTTTCCAGCGCACTTCACCAAACCTTTCAGAAAATTAGTTAGGGTGGGAAAAGTTTCTTCCCAGAGTTTGAAAAATGGTTCCGCAATTGCTATAATCCCATGAAATTTGCTAGTGGACCAATGTGCCCCAATAGTCGAATGTGCCCGGGATAAAATTTTAGCTGACTGTCAGACGAACTCTACTCACAAACAGCTGATTTAAAAACTGAGTTGCGACTGATCGAGAGCCGACTTAAGGTGATTACTTTAACTGATCGAGGCAACTTTTGCTGTGTTTCTGACATAGTTTGCTGATTCTCAGGCGTAATTTGCTGAAAACTGAAAATAGCTGACAGACCGTCCAGAATTATAGCTGAAAAAACGTGACAACAGGTGCGTACAGTTAATACAATACTGACGGTAACTGAGTTAAGTGCCGTATCGTTTCCTGAAATTAGCTCACACAGAACTGAGTATAACTGAGTTTCATTTTATTCCAAAAAAAAAGAACGCCAGTATTGGAACCATCAAACTTCGGACTGTGCGCCAGCACTCTAGACCACTACGCTATGAGTCCGTTCCTCTGCGTATAGAGTCGGGTAGAGTGTCTTTCCAACGTGACATAACCGCCATCTGCGGCTGACTGACATTAACTGCATCAGCTGAATTAAGCTAACTTAGCTGAATTAGGCGACGCTCTGTTTACAAAGTTCCTAGGTAGAAAATTTCTAAGTCCTCTGCATTTACTAAGTGTCTCGAGCTCAGCCGAGTCAAAAGACGTTTTGATGAACTTCGGCTGATGTTGTCTAAAAGGTTAAACTCAGTTAAGGGTCAGCTCTAAGTCAGCAACTCAGTTACTGGCAAAAGTCTGTCGGTTACTGAATATGAACGGCACACCACTATCAGCAGAGATCAGCTACTGGCAGTAGCGATTTATAAGCTTGGAAAGGCTGATACTGTCTGACCGACACAAGTTATGTGACTGTATTTTACACACACGCTACTGAGTCTAGACACAGGCCAACATTCAGTTACTTACAGCTAATCTCAGTGATAGAAATAGCCGAGCGTAACTGAACTACTGATGTCGGCCGATCATCTCATTTATTCAGTCTGTGACGTGTAACCGGTTTTTACTGACGTGCATCTGAGTCTTGACGTTGACGAAATTTCTCTTACATTCAACTATACTCAGTAAAAATAAAAAGCTGCAAACAGCTGATATGAGGATGGCGTGTTATTCAGCGAACTGCAGATTCGTGGTCAGTTTGTGCTGCCACTTACGCAGCTAGTAGCAGCGATGTTCTAATATGAACAAAACTGAATAATAGACATAGTCGTTAATTCAGTTAACGTCAGTTATACTCATGTGAAACTGATTTCATCTGATAAGGGTGCAGATAAAGTTGGCAGCATTCCAGGTTTGGTAGGCAAAAAGTCAGATGTGATTTAGCTGAATAATACTGATTCAGCTAAAGTTGCCCGGAACTCAGATACCGCGCTAGTTACTCAGTAGAGCTCGGCGAACAGTCAGCTAAAATTTTGTCCCGGGTGCCCCACTCTCCCGTTCAACTTTTTATTTCCAGGAGCGAAACAGATGTGACCGTTTTCGGTCAGAAACTTTTAAAACGAACCAGTTTCTACCAGACAGGGTGGAGCAACACCACATAGTACACTAAATGTATGTGTACGTTTTTGTGCAAACGTTCGCGCTAAGTTAAACCTACGTCTCGTTTCGCACAAATTTTTACGCCAAAGTGCATGATTTCCTACAATTGAATGCACAAAAGTGTTCAAATAAACGCAGAAATGTGTGCAAAAAATGATTGTTTAAGTTTGTACAAACAACAGATACAAGTCCAGTCAGTGTGCACCTACTGCGTTTTCGGCCGCGTCTGGGCAACAAGTCCAACAATGAACACCCTGAAAAGTGGGCTCCCCGCGCGCGCGCGCGGCAAAAAAAAAAAGTCTCGGAATTACTTAAAAACTACACGCCGCATCGATTTGAGGCTAAAGGTGTATTGAATGCATAGGTGGAAGCTAATTTTTCCCGTTGGCACCGGTGCGCGCACAGCACTATGCCAATCTTTGCCTGGACGAAGTAGTCCTTTTTGGAGTGCAGGATTATGCTGCATCGGATAGGTCTGCGACTTAAAAAAAGTGCTAGTTACTCTTAAAATACTCTTAAGAGATGCCGTTAGTGGTTGACCATGAACCCTTTAAGTCCTTTATTCTTAAATCGATGCGGTGCGTGTTTCTTATGTAATGACGATTTTCCAAAACCTTTTATTTCACAGATCTGCTCCCTTAAACTAATGGTCCCTAATAAACAAAAAAAAAAACACCCGAAAAGATGCATACACAGGGCGGCCCAATTTCCTTCACCGTGGGTTCGTTTCGCAGTTAACAATAATTGTTAACATTTTTTCAAAAGCATGTTTGTTAAAAAAACGCATGTGTTGCTAGCAAAACCAACTAAACTTTAGCTGTTAATTTAAAACATATTTTCAACAGATCAAGTCTTGTGTACTTCACTGTAAATGGCAAAGGACAATTTTGACAATATTGAATCAAAACTGAATGCTTTATTTTGTTGGTAACGTAGATGCAAGTTGGCATCTGTTTTAGTGTGGATACAGAGTTCACGAAACGCAAGCGTAATTTTCACGAAAAGCGTGAATTTTCACGCCAGGCGTGATTTTTCCGGCTTCGTAAGCTTCACACAGCCAATCAGGAACCGACTTTCATCACGCCTGGCGTCGTGAAAATCACGCCTGGCGTGAAAATCACACTCGTGTTTTGGAAACTCTGTATCCACCTTAACATGGGCACAAGTGCAAATTGTGCCAGGCTATTTAGTGTTTATTGCGTCTTGTTTTTGTTTAGATGTGCACAAGAATGAAGAAGATTTTGTGTTTATGTACATATGGGTAATGCCCAACGCAAATTTCAATCATTAAGGACTGCCTGACAATGATTAGGTACATTCGCTATAAGTCTTATAACTTGCAACTCTTCCTATACTGTAAATAAGTAATTTGTTTATCTTGCCCAGCTTTTCTCTACCGTATACGCGATAAATATCGGGTACATTTCAAAACTCATAATAACTTCAATTCTTACTTGAACATTCTTTAGCGTTATGACAGAGCACTGTAATCGACGTCGGTTTGATCAAATAAAAGTTCTGACTGGTGTGTTCTGTGGTTCTTATTTGTCCCTCAGGCGCTTGAAGTCACTTTGCCATGGGGTGGTGGGCTGCGAGGACGGGTCGTGGAACCACTGACAAATGCACCACCGTTCCAGGCATTTCTTGGCGTGCCTTATGCCGCACCACCTGTTGGCAAGCTACGATTTTTGGTAAGTGTAACATTTGCTTTTATTTCCGTTTGATTTGAATGCATTTGTACATATGTATTTAATGCTACAAGCGTTAATTTCATTCCGTTTAGAGCGTATTAGAGTTAATTTTACTTTTTTTAAATATGTACTCTCTTACTGTACACCGTAGGATAGCAAAATTTTACAGTTTAAACCAATTAATAGTTTACTACTGTTGTTCCTACCATGAAATTGACAAAATTCGTGCAGTGTACACTTCCATGTATGGACAATATTTTTCCTTACTGCCGAGCTTACTTATACCTTTACAGAAAATATCAATGTAACCAACACAATAAGGTGAAATTTCTTTAAGTCTAACCTACGATGTATTTTTGTTCTTGCAGCCTCCGCAGCCAGTTGAGAAATGGTCCGGTGTCCGAGACGCGATAGAAGAGCGCGACGGTTGTCTCCAGATTGATTACTACTCTAAGAGTGTCATGGGATCCGAAGACTGCCTCTATGTTAACGTTTACCGACCACCCGGCACAGAACCTCACTGCAGAAAACCTGTGGTCGTCGTCTACTCCTTTGGAGCATGGAGCCTACTCAACATGAGCATGAACGAAATTGGACCAGAGTTTCTTGTCGCAAAGGATATAATTGTTGTCACCGTGCCCCACAGACTTCTCTCCTTTGGTAAGTAATGTGAATCATGGGTATTGAATTTATTAAGAACTGCCTAGAAAGCTATCGTTGTCAATATTCTGTAAGCCGAGTGGATGGTTTTCAAGAGAGGAAACTCCATTTAACGCCTGAACCGCGCTAAGCATTCCATGACCAGTTCTTTCTTTCTGTAGGGTTCCTGTCTTTGAACTCGCCAGTGGCTCCAGGCAATATGGGTCTTCACGACTGCATTGCCGCCCTCCGCTGGGTCAATGAAAACATCGCATCTTTTGGTGGTGATCCAGAGAGAGTCACTGTATTTGGGTTGTGCGCTGGCGGGCTCATCGGCCATACATTCCAGTTTCTAGAGTCTACAAAGAACTTATTCCAACAGAACATTTTTATTTCCGGTGCTCTCTCCTCTGCACCTTGGGTGAGTGGACAGGTGCTGGCGCGACATGTTGCATTCTGCGATTCGTGTGGCTTTGAACTTCGTAATGACGCAAGTGGAATTGGTTTCGGTACGAGGGTAGGGTATCTCAAGGCTAGGCTAGACCGGAAGGAGAAGAACAAAAATCACGGTGAGGAGCGGGGGCTACGGCTGGGTGGGGTAGCTCCCCGCTCCCAAATATTAATGTTCTTTTCAATCCGGTCTCGCGTGCTTGCCAACCACCCGAGAAACAGTGTACAATTTTAAAACTAAGAGTCAATAGTGAACTGAATTTCCCTGGCAGTGGGTTCGTTTCGGCCTTGACAAGAATTGTTAACGGGTTTTTTTCAAAACAGGCTGTTGATATAGGCTGTTAGACACACTGTGCCACATCACGACATTATATTCTGCGATGGCGAAGTGAAGCGGGTATGGCCAATCAGTCTGGCTGAGGTTCGGCCTGCTTGTAGTTCAGGGCCAGGTCACTACACCCAGAAACGCGTGTTCCTGTTTCAAGTTCAGTGCCGGACTTGATTTTGCGGTTTCCTGAATTGAGATTGGTGAGGCTCGAGAGCTAAGAGGTAGGTTTGAACGTTGCCTCTTCCGTAACGACACCTACTTGGGTCGTTGACGGTGCAGGAGAGGAGTGGAGAAGCATCTAGGAACCTATCCAGTTAGAGTCCCACTGAAAAATCTCACTCAGGTATGAAATTAGCAGAAAAAGGCGAAAGCTGACAAAAAACGTCCTCCGCCATCGTGGAATATTATTGCACATATGCCGACAGCCTGACTGGCGCGTCGCATAGATTTGCGGGTGGGACCATAAAGTTGAAAGGGGTCGACTTTGAGGGAAGGGGGGGGGGGGTCTAGTAAAGCGAAAAAATCGCTAAGACCTACGATTAGCACATGCGCCTGCCCCCCCCCCCCCTCCCCGCCAATCACCTAGTATTTGCGCACCTGTGTTGGTCTAGAAGTTCTCAGCAGTAGTCAATTCGAGCCTTAGCACAAGTCCCATTTGGAACTCAAATTCATCCAGCCTCATGTTCTTGAATTCATTCCTGATATGTCAAGCACCATCACTGTTGGCCCAGGCGCGTGCATTCATCTCATAAGTTCGCATTTTACTTGTCCCAACCCGAAAGCTTATTTCAAGTCCCAACCGGCCTCAATCAGTTCAAGTGCCAAGTGCTCTTGTACCAAGTGCAGCGCACTTGGATCAAGTACTTCTGGGTGTATGACGGATGATGTTTCTCCCCATTTCAGTACGCCTGCGCCCCGGGTGATGTAATCAGAGACAAGAGCTTGTATCTCGCCCGCAATTTGGGTTGTACTTCTAACAATGACGAAGAGATTCTGACATACTTGCAATCAGTGCCAGCGGCAGACTTGTTTAGCAAAACATGGGATTGCATGTACTCCTGTCCGGTAAGCGTTGTATCCTCTAAAAGTGTGCATGTTCTGTTTAAATGCCTAGATGAGAAAACGAAACTCGTCAAAGACTTCCTTTGCAGCCCTCCGACCGCGTTAACCCACCCTTGAGTCCCATGATTGATGCCGACGCCTATGCGGACCGGAATGACGCTCTGTGGCCAGCCCATCCAGTAAAGATGGTTCGCAGTCACACCAATAGGCCAGTCCCAACCCTGTTTGGCTTCTGCCGGAATGATGGTTGGCTTAATTGGGGCCCTACACGGATGTGGGAAGGTATGATTACCAAAGCAAATCTAGCAGTTAAAGATCCGGCTGGAAGCGAATCTGTAATGGACGCACCCTCAGGGATAAACTAGGGAAGCAGCTCATCGACATAACATATCGCCAACAGGATATGAACCTCGAATGGTCTTTGCAGAGCATTAGATGCTGGTTCAAAACTTGGAGGTGGGCCATCTTTCAACTAGAAGGCCATAGTGGAAACAACAAATTTTAAAATTGAAATGTGTGATTCTTTCACGATTTTTCCCATGTGCAGCGACAATGTGGTTTGAAGGCAACGGTATGTATAGAGTAGATACAGTTCATTGAGCCCTGTTTTGAAAAGTAGCCATGGTATTTTCGTCATCGTGACAAAGGGCAGTGTACCCCAGGCACAGTGACTAACAGTGGCATCTACAGTAACGCAGTAACGCAGTGTACAATATGGCGTATAAGGCGGGGGAATTCAAATCTAAGTGTTGATCATTTTTTACTTAAAATAACCATATTGAACGAGTTACTAACAGAATAAAAGAAAAAGATTTCTTGCAGGTATTCAAGCCAACTCAAGTAATCTTAAGGACCGGTACGCTATGCTCGAGAGGACATTGCCGGACGACTTAGACCTACCCTATGGATCTCCGGAACGTGAGGAAGTATTAGAAGAAATTCGGAGATTTTACTTCGCTGGTACCAAAAGTCCAACTCTTCATCAGTGGTACACTGTAAGAGCCGTGTAACAAAATTCCTTTGGAGACGAAATATGTTCTGGCCTGCAGTGATACTCTTAGAAAAGACATTCCACTGAATTGATAGGCCAGTGACCAAAACTATTTCCCTCCAATTGCCTGATAGATATTTTAAACTTTCGGTGAAAAACCTGCAATTTTTCAACATGGTGTTGCTAACAACACTTGCAAGTGCTTCTCAGTTTATCGGTGCACAGTAAAAGGTAACTCATGGTTCGTTGTTCCAGTACACAGGAGATTTACTGGCAAGAGGGTTCTACGACGCTTTTCGACAACACTCCGTTCACCCTGGACGACCACGATCGTACCTCTATTGTTTTTCAGTTGAGGGGCGCAACAACCGAACGTCTCGGATGTTTAAATGCCCTCCGGGTAGGTCCAAGATCTGTTTTTGAGGATTGTAATTGTCGGTGAGAAATTAATGCTGCAGTGGGTTGCATCTAAATTCTTGAAACGCTAAAGACATGAATTTCGCAAAAGCTCTGTATAACCGTGTATATATTCTTGTCAGTGACTAACTAATGCAAGAAAAATGTTCAGCAATGTAAAACGGAGTTATTTCGCATTACTGATGCAGATGCAAAACGTTGGCAGTAGCTTAGAAAAACTTTAAGACAGCAGGAATACTGAAAATGGCTTTAAAAATCGTTAAAGGATGCGACTGTTGGCGCTTTGATTTACAGGCATAGTTGCCCATATGGATGATATGGGCTATATCTTTGGCTGTCGTGACAAGCCTCCTGGTCCAGAGCCGGCATGGCCGTCCACGAGCATTGAAGCTCTGACTCGAAGAAGAATAGTCTCCCTTCTGTCTAATTTCATCAAATACGGGTAAGTACATCGCATCACGCATCCGGATCGAGCGACACTAGCGCCGCGAGTGCCCACTTTAGCTCGGGGCAGATTAATAGCAGTACAGGGATAGGGCCAAGTAGCCATGGAGACACATGTGGCAAGTATTTTATTTAGTCCGAAGCGTTTTCATAAACTAAATTCGGTACGAACTCGGAAAATTGATGTAATTTCTGAGAAATTGTGGCTGATTGGTCTCCATGGCTACCTGTCCCTGTCCCTGTAATGCTATTTATCTGCCCTGAGCTAGTTACGAAAGTGGCCACTCGTGGCGCTAGTGTCGCTCGATCCGCGCGTGAATGTTAACTTTGAATAAGCTAGAATATGCATCATGACAGATTCAGATTACATCGCTAGCAGTTCTTTTCAACCAATAACAAGCAGGCCCGCCCTTCCACCAAACGAAGTTGCCAGCTTCACTTCGCTCCGTAGGCAACTCCGTTCGGCAGGGGCGGGGCCTTCCTGGTCTGCCGGCGGCGTTTTGTCGGGCCTACGGCCCGACCTACGAGTTACTTTGTGTATTTCGAACAAACTTAGGCTGCGGCCCTTAAGATTAGCTCCTTGCACATTAAAAAAGACTGTAACGGTGCAACACCGTGCCTACAGCCCACCCTTCTGCTTTAAAAATGAATAAAAAAAAATTACAACCACAGTTTTCAGCTTGGATTGTTTCACATTCAGTCTTAAAACTGGACTTTTTGCCATTGTTTGAAGTATATCGACCTCTAACTCGGAAACGATCGAAGATACGTCAATTCCAAGAACTGATTCTGACTCAGAATGTGCTGTTTCGGATATGACTTCCTTTGTTATTTTTCGATTTGAGGCCTTCTTGTACGTCTTTATGTACAGCGTGCTCATTTTTGGCACATTTTTGTCGAAAAAGCATCTTCAGCGCCCAAACGGTGAGAGATAGAGCCAAAAGGCCAAAATTTCACCCCCCAGATTTCTACAGTCATGAGTTACCTCTTCAGAGATCTTAAACAAATATTTTTTGAACCTCTGGTTACTCGTCAGCTTTGAACAGATTTAGGAGGCAAGAGCGATTCCCCTTATGTAAAACCGCTCACCGCCTCGGGGGCTCTGAGAAAACGCTCACCTCATCCCCGCCTGCGGACAACCGCTTACCTAGCTTGGCGCTCCGGATAACCGCTTAAGTCGCTTTTTTACCGAAAACGTAATATTAGTATCATTTGAAAGAGGCGGAAATTCTCTTTCGAATGATACCAATATAACGTTTTCGGTGAAAAAGTGACTGAAGCCATTATCCGGAGCGCCAAGCTAGGTAAGCGGTTGTCCGCAGGCGGGGATGAGGTGAGCGTTTGTCCGCAGCCACCGAGGCGGTAAGCGGTTTTACATAGGGGGTATCGAGAGGTTAGTGAGAAAGAAGCGACTCAATTTTCAATGTTGGGTATTTAAAGGCATAGCTGTTACATTCCGTAAGGATCGTCCTTTAGTCAGATCATACATTTTACGTCACTCGAAATAGCCGATTTTGTCAGGTCATCATATCATGAAGCCGAGGGGGCAATAACTCCCTTTTGAAGTGTACACATGATTCCCGAAATTCTTGATTCCCGGTGATTCCCGTCCGCTTATAAGTATTACATAGGTTTTTCGGGGGGTTTTAGTGGTATAAAACGCTTATTTCGACTGATTTGTACTTATTTCTCTAGTTTCTCGCTTACTCTAAGCGATTTCTATTGATTTTGATCAATTTTTATCCTGACGATTCCCAGACAGGTGTACACATGATTCCCGGAGTTATTGCCCCCTCGATGAAGCCTCTGTTTAAAATTGCCAATTAAGTGGAAATGTGACTTCCGTACCAACGTAACTTCTATGCATTTTTACCGTTTTTTGACCCTTTCAGAGGGCGAAACAAAATTGTGCCGGATCTCCGTAGCTCTTGTATCTTCAGAGCAAGATAAGGAAAGAGGCCTATACAGCTCCCAACTAGAAAAAGTATTATTGAAAATGATTATTTTTTTTCCGATTTTGAAACATTCATAGGTCGTATATTTTGAAAGCCTTTCATAAACTGACACCCGTGTGCTAAATACCGCTGGTTCTAACGATAGCTGGCGAAGCTCTGACAGGCCAAATTTCTTCAGTAACTTGCGTGCTGAATGACTGCCAAAATATGTGCAGTCAATAAGCAAAATGTCACATACCGTTTCAAGTCGAAAAACAACAGGCTGTAGTCCTGCGGCATCATATAAAAAGAGCAATGCCAGTGGACTTTTAATCTAACTTATACTATTTACCACCCACGTTTACAGAGATCCTACTCCAGCAAGCGAGCCTGACCCGGAACCTGAAATCCACGGTTTACGCTGGCCTGCGTTACCGCCTAGAAGCGCGGCTCCATATCCCTGCCTCGACATCAACACTTCACTCAGCATTCAACACGAAGTGCTTGGGGAACGTGTCCGCTTTTGGGAAGATATGTATGATCGGTATTTTACCACAGGAATTACAGAAAGAACGAGAAATCCACCAAGCTTTACTGACCAAGAAGCGCTAAGTCGTCCGGAGTCATCTTCCCAAGTGTTATCATATTGAAATTTCAATTACATAGGAATACTTTTAATAAATATATTACATCGTTGCGCAATCATAATTACAGTTTAATAAAGTCTACATGCAAAATAAAATGGTTTCACAATCCGAAGAGCCGTACCAAACGACTTCCCGACACACAAATCGGAAACTAGAGGAAGTATCCACACATTTCGAGTGATAACACAAACTTCCTACAGGAGCACTCAATCACGTAAAATTAGGTTTTCATTGCCATAAGAATCCCACAAAAATTAAAATTGTAAAATGGTTTCAATTCCCTGCTGTAGATGTGGTGGGTCTTCGACAGTTTCTCTGAGGATGTCAAATCTAGGAGCCGCAAGACCCTTATACTTATCTCGGGTGTAAGTACCGCAGGCGTAGTCTGTGTGCATTAGGCGCATCGCTGCGGAACCGCGCTTCGATATGGAGAAGCCTGTTACGCGAGACGTTGTTGGGCGCACTTCTACTTATTTCTATATCGTGTTTTGGTTTTGAAAGGAACTGATGAAATATTAAATAAAGGATAATGTCAAAAATATGTATTTAGTGGTTTAAACGTTAAAAGTAGCTTAAGCAAGTACCAGTAAGTGCGGTCAAAATATCACAATCAGGCAGACCGTAACTCATGAATCCGCATTTGGGGTCCTTTTATTAAACTCCAGAAGTCTTAAGAATGAAGTCGCGGATGTCCACACTGCCAACTTTGGTGTACACGCCCGGAAAAGTCGCGCAGCCCTCACCCCAAGACACGATGCCTACCTGCACACCACTGGAATCGACCATTGCTCCACCGCTGTCACCCTGCACAGACATTTTGACATTTTACATATAACGAGTAGGCTCACCATACGAACGGAGTTTACTTTCCCTGCTCGCTGCAACTCCGTTTAGTAGAGAGCCCGAACTTGTTTCCCGCAAATCTTGGCCGTGAGCCTGAATTTTGGATAACACGGGAACCTTTTCAGGTGTAAAGTTTCAACTTCGTTGGAACCTGGAAAATTTGGAGGTTATTTGTGTAGAAATGTTATGGTATTTGAAAATTTTCCTGAACATCACAATTAGTTTCACCGAGGAGAGGAGTAAAGTTTAAAAAATATATAAATCAGTGATCTATCGGGTAACTCGTCAAAGTAGTTCCCTAAGGACCACAGTTTTGTCCGTTTTCCTCTATTTTGTACCGTTAGGGCGGTATAGGGATATTTAGGTCAAAAAACATTGTAAGGCTTAAGTAAACCCCCAGTATAAATGAGGGTTAGGGAAATTTTTTAAAAGCCATCTGACTTTCATTATAATAACCTCTACATTTTCCGAGTTCCATGACGATCGGAGATTTACACCTGAAAAGGTTCCCTTGTAAGTCTAGCTACACGGTACGTGCACTGTAAACAGGATGGGGCATTTCAGACACTGAAAAAGGCGTGATTTTGTGCACATCATTTGCATCTGTCAATTCCGGAACATTTCAAAGAAACGCAGCTTTTGTTGTTTTCGAAAAAGTAATCATCACAAATAATTGTATCACAACTTTTCAACTTTCTTTAAAAGTGTGTCTCCCTATAAAAAGGGAGGAGCTACCAGATTTTTTTTTTTTTTTTTTTTTTTTTTTTTTTTTTGATGCATGATGTGGCACAATCAAATTTCATCAGCGCTATGACTGGTTCCTCGAGACTTCGAAGAAGCCCGGAGCTTCACGGTGAGATCTGGTGAGATCAAACAGTGTTTGATAGGCTCGCACAGATCAAGCAGCGTTAGACCCGTCATAGAGTAATAAAAATTGACAGAAAATCTTTTACGGATGGCTTAGATTTTCAGCCTACGCTACGCTAGCGACAGCGGTGGCAGGCCACGGCCGTCTTCTGTTTCATTGTTTTATTCCGGTTAGGACATATTTATTTTCCATGTAGGTACTGCAAGTAGAGTGTGGACCTGGCACGAATCCTTTTTGTTGCCACCCGCGCAGAGCTCGTCCAGTCGAACAGGGCCAAGATGGATCTCGTCGTATGCGGCTGAGCAGCTCCTCCGGTCGATGATTTGCACTTTGGCTCTCTTCAGTTTGTCGGGTAAGAAAGTCGACTCCTACGTACAAATAAGCAGGAGTGACAAAACGGACTACGTGTCGCAGTTAACCAAATGGCGAAACATGCTCAGATTGGCAATTCAAATAAATATCCCTGAATGCCATTCGTTACACTAGCTGTCCACGTGAAGGGAACATACCCCTCCTCCAACCTTCAAGGCCAGATCATGCATTTTTTGTGGCCCCCTCCCCCATTTCTACCCATGTGCTTCATGTACAACTTGAATAAACTGTCGCAAATTGAAAGTGTATCTAAGGGTGATGTAGCTCACAAACTGTGTAGCTCCCCATCCGGAGATGGTCATGGCTGCACCCGAGGCTGGATCCGCGTCGCTCCTGGAGCTGAGGCGCACAGGCTGGACAGCACTGCTGAAAGCGGCGCGGTCTGCGAGGCTCACGAGGGCCACATCCCACCCGCGGCCGTGGTAGCGAGGGTGCCTGGCCACCCGCTGCACCCTGAGCAGGCGCCCGCCCTTCTGACGGTACGTTGTGCCGAGGCGGACGCGCCAACGACTAGCAGTCGCTTGGTATGGCCTGTAGAATTAAAAAAAAATGCATAGAAAGGGGAAAAGAACAAAAAGGAAGACGGAACCTGCCCGCACTACGTCACAGAAGCGGCTCGTGCGATGCCTTGCACCTTCCATGTTTGTTCTTCATCAACGGCAGGGCAACTTCGGTAGGGTGCAAAAAAAAAAAAATGATTTCTCAAAATATTCCTTCAGTTCCTGGTAGTGGACCTAAACATGAGTCCTGAAAAAAGTTTGACGCAGGATATCGATTTCCGAGGCCCGTTTCAGTCTCGCAAGAACGAGAATTTTAGGGGGTTTGCTCTACATTCAGTCAAAAATTCAATATTTTTTATTGGCATCGAAACCTATGAAGCACCCTATTGCCCACGATTTCAGTCGATTATCACGAAATTTCGGATCGCACATGACATTCACAGTGATTTCAGGGTAAAATCTCCGGGCAGAAAACGCGCAAGCACCGAGTCTGGTTTTGCGATACTTTTAACACAAAACCATGCGATAACTGGTGTTTTGCGCACTGTAAATTGCTTACGAACTATAGGTTCGTAATGCAAACCAAAACGTTCGTAGCTTACGAAGGATTTTCAAGCGTTGTATTACGAACTAATTGTTCGTAAGCTTACGAACAAATAGTTCGTAATGCAAACCGATTGTTCGTAAGACCCGTCTAGCCTTACAAACAATCGCTTTGCAATACGAACAATTTCTTTGCAATACAAAGAACGGAAATTGTTCGTAACGTTGCAAAGTATTTAGTTCGTAAGCTTTTTACAGTGCGATTCCCACGCTAAAGGGCATGATAACTCCAAAAACTGTGCTAAAAGTATCACATTATTCTGATAAAATTATCACAAAAACTGTTTTATTATATTTTTTGTGATGATTTTATTACAAAAATGTGATACTTTTATCACATTTTTTGGAGTTATCATGCCCATTAGCGTGGGAATCGCAAAACACCAGTTATCGCAAAAATTGAGTGAAAGTAAGATTCATGATTACAAGCACATTTCAATCGATTTCGGAAGGATTTCCGGGACAATGTACAACAAACATCAGGACATCAACAGTCACTGACTCGCCCTGAACTAACCTTTCGAAGCAGTGCGCTGCGGTCAGCACCCACCACTCAGAGATCACGCTGCCCCCACACGTGAAGCGCGAAGAGTACTCCAGCGCCACCTGCGGGTTTCAGTCAGCATTAAGTGATGCACTATCTAATCAATTGACAAAATACAAAATTGCATCCATCTAAGTTGTGCTTACACGTATATTTATTAAAAATAAAATCTATGACTATCTAGAGTATACAAGCCTAGTGTTCATCCGAACAATTGTTCTACATTGCTCTACACTGCTCGCAGGGATCCGACGTGCACTTGCAAGTGTCTCTTCATAAAACTAATTTTCAAGAGGTCAATCGATTAAAAGTTGGGCAAATTTTTGCATCAATCGAACCCTTCAAATTTTTAAAGGTAGTGCCTCCTTTAGACTTATATTTGCGAACTCAGAGCAATGCAGCTCAAACCGAGTCAAATTGATCTAGAACTATCCTGAGAAGACGATTTTTTACACCATTAGAGCACAAATTTTCGATCTCCCTAAAAGGCACTTACTCTCAAAATTAATTACTTGGGGCCCCGGGAATGATTTTAGACCATAAAGAATGAAGCAATCATATGAACAAAGTTTATTTTTTACCAATAGATCCCCTCAAATGCAGAAGGAAAAAGTCAACATGAAACTTACTTGATACGGCACTTCCGTGATTTCCACGTCCTCTCCATTTACTATCCGGGAGTGAGGACTGCGAAACTTGACTCTATCTTTGCTTCCGCAATCAAAGTGACCACTGCCAGCACCATCACCATCCTGACTAAGGTTATCGCCCGCCCTGTTGGTTTCGTCATCCTTCGTGGTGGAAGAGACGTTCTGCGAGTCTGCATGAACAACATCGACCTCTGGTGGTCTGTTAAAACAAACACGGGCGAGGTCTGGACATTTTCAATTTGGTACATAAACCATGTATAAGGAAGACTTTCCAACTGAACAGAACCACACGCAAGAAAATGTGCCAGCGAATCAACATTTTGACCTTGGATTAGCTTAAGCGACGTGAGATGCTGATCCAACTACATATGATGAGTTCTTTTTATCATTGACCCGAGAATTGGGGTCTGGTTTCGGATTTTATTTTTACTCCGGAAAATCAAAGGTATTCATGTTATATGAACCGGCTCCAAATCTAGGCTCTGTAGCTCAAACGGTTTAGGATATATACATAATTTTAAAGTTTTGAGGCAAAAATAGCGGCTTCAAAAGGAGGTGCAAGTATTACTCTATGAAAAAGTCCAGTGAGGTAAAATCTGACTGTGCCATTTAAAAGAAGATTAAAAACTTACTCTAAAACACCAATGTCAAAAAGTTGGTTTTTTTTCTACTTTTCGATCACAGGAAACAACAAAATCTAACATATACGGGCAACTCTCATAGCAAAAATTTGTGGTGTCCAATTGTCATCAAATTTGGTTTACACATTATGCTTCTCAAGCCCAAAACATTCTCTAATTTCTGTGGGAAGGTAATATTCACAAAGTCTAAAAAAAGAATTATAATGTTTAACTTAGAAAAACTAGTATTTTGTTGTTTTTTTTAGCATCACCTTCCCTATATTTGCTTCAGAACTGTAAAAATGTATATCGCCTAAACCGTTTGAGCTACAGAGTGGGTGCATATTGCATGAATACCTTTAATTTTCCGGAATAAAAATAAAATTCAGAGCCAGACCCGAAATTTTTTGAGCAATGATAAAAAGAACTTACCATATGTTGACCAAACTACATGCGCCGGTTGGCCATCTGCAGCCACTCATACGGTTAGTAGCAACGAGCATTTGGACTAACAACCCGGCTACCATAGCAAGACGTTCGTTGGAGCAATTGTACTTTTGTATCGTGCAGAGTGTTTTTCCAGAGATATATATTCCAAACGGATTTCCAAGCAAATTCTTTAACCTCAAATTGTTGTACTGAAACAACAGATTTTTCTCAAAAGGGACTGCTGATAAGCTTTCTCGTTTTCCTGGTCGCTGTCTAACATCTTACAACCGTTTACTGTCAAATTAAAGTCAATAGGTTCCATGCTATACAAAACGGAAGTGAGAGAAGAACATAGAGCGACTGAACCTATTTCGGATCAGATTTTTGTATTCCCGCCCTTTACCAAAGCACACAGGTTAGATCTTCCTTAACAAAAAGCATTTTTTTTTTGTGTCCGTAACTGCACTCGTTTTGGAGTTAGGGCAATTTGAGTGTGGACGTTATTTTCATCTGAAATAGGGACACATGACCCTATTTGAAGGTAGTGACTTTGCCATCTTGTAGCCTGACGGTAGTTGGCTCTAGAAGCGATCAAGATTGTGGTCCACAGTGCACGGGGTCATTGGACTATTGCCTGATCCGAAATAAGCATGTGCATCTAATTCTGATCAAATGAAACAAATAATTAAGTAACCGAATTATAAACAAACAAATTAGTTTTTAACCAATCTGCGGCATTGTAACCTCATCCCGCCCTTCTGCCTTAAAAACCCATACCTTATACAATACGAAGTTATTCCCACTTCTACGCTCCACCGTCTTTTCCAAATTAGGGAACTTTTTTAGTCATCGGATACCCACCAGCCTTCTGAGAGAATGCAATAACCGGAGCAGGGTGTTCTGTGACAGGATGACCCTCAGCTGGTGCCTGAGTAGGGAGAACATCTGCATTGCACGTGACCGCCCACGTCAGCAAAGCAATGGCCAGCAGAATCCCGGGTGCGCACCAGCTATCGCTTGGCGATGCAAACTGCCCTCCACCTAAGATACGTCGAGAACATTAATGTTTGGCTCAAGCACAATATTCAATGACGAACAATACTAAAGTGTTGTTAAGTTTCGGAATATCAGTTGTCTTCTTTGGGGTCGATCTATAGAGAGGAAAATATATTTTCAAATGTGCTAATTTGTTAACTGCCAACTGGAAACCTAGCATTAATCAGACCAAACTGCTAATGGTAAAAACAGTGTGAATGATACTAAGATTTCCTTTAACGATTCGCTATTCAAATTTAAAAAGGAATCGCTAGAAAACGGTAGCAGTATGAAGATGTTTTACCATCAGCGCAAATATTTAAGTTATGAACGTCTGTCTGGACCTACTCATCACACGTTCGCGAAACCCTCCATACGTTCTCCATGCCTTGTACAGGCTGTACGAAATTGATATGATACGTTCAGAGATGACTTACCGTGAAGTTTTACAGATTGTTGAGGGTCACAATTGACTGGTGATACATTTCTACGCCTTGGTATGTTCTGTACTTGTTACTTGATAGAAGTGAACTACACCCTATGCCACAAGAATACTGATCATTTTGTTGTGAGCGTTGTTCAAATAAGTTTCATGCAACCGTTCTCTAGGCCGTTTACAAGCGAACACTAGAACGAACAAAACTCCATTGAGGAGGGATCGTTTGATTACAGGGTCAGTAGTAAGGAGCTGTAACCACATCGACGCAGAGTTTGGTCTTCCTACCTCAACCAGTATTTTTACGAGTAGTGCGCTGTTTCAATACCAAACACGCACCTCTCGCAGAGAATATCCCATACAAGCCTGGTAAAACGCTTCCTACACGCGCACCATGTCGGCTCACTAGCCAGGTTAGGGCGGCCCTTACCAGGCGGCGGGCCGCGGCGGCATGGCATGGCGGCCTGCTGGCGCCGCACTGAAGGCTGCCCCGCCCGCTCGGGTATGATAAGGTGGCCCTGTGGACCGCCACAACCTCCCGCCGGACTTCCTGCACACAGCCGTTTCATGTCGTGCTGCCCCTCCCTCCCCACGGACAGGTCGGTGGCGTGAGGTGAGGAAGGGGTGGGGTCCCACCACCCAGTGTCAAAATCATCATACTCATCAAAACGCTTTCACTTACTCCACGTGTGCAGGAATCACAGTCGTTAAGTCGTTACATTCCCGTCTCTTTTAACATTCTCCTATCACACAGTTTGGTTTATCACCCTGCTTTTAACTCTACAAGAGGGGAATGCGGTCGCCAAGAAATCTTCAGAGAAATTCACGAAGAGAAGATTCTTTTCCAAATACTCATGATACCTCTACCTTTGCAACGTGGCCGAGGGGGCCTCAACTCTCTGGTGTACACCCACCCCGGCAATCTACGATAATCTTCGGCAATCTCTACGTAATCGGCTGCATATGCCATGCTTTTTGCCTGCATTCAGGGTTGACATTCGTGAGACCTTCCTTTTCACTCACCACAATTATTCGCCCTCCACTTCCATAGTCAAGACTCGCCAAGGGGAACATAGTTTAGAAGAGCCGAAACGGATTGTGCACACGTTTGCAATCAAAATCGTGTTTCGATTCAACAAAGCAGAGGTCGGCATCCGCTCCCGAACGGGTCCCACTCTGAGCGCGCGCCGTGCGCAGTCGGTGTGCGAGAGAGACAGAGCGATAAACCCGAGGTAGCGATAGCGATGTGCCGAACCTCGCCGACTGCAGCCGAACGAACGGGACCCGTTTGAGTGGCCTGGCCAGCAGACGGGACCCGTTGACACGAGCGAGTCTCGGCGAGCGGGAGTGAGCGAGCCGGACCGAGAGCGGACGGGACGGGATGGGACGGGTGACAGAGCCGAGCGGGACGGAACGGGCTGGGTTTGGGAGCCGATGCCGACCTCTGTCTGCGGCGCCGTCTTCTTTCAATTGCGAGTTAAATAATATTGGCAGTAGAGAAAAGGTAAAAATTGCGATGTGTTCATAATAGATCAAGGACGACATTGCAGTTTTTACTTTTTCTCTACTGCCAATATTCTTCATCTCGCAATTGAAAGAAGACGGCGCCGCAGAGAACGTCAAAAGGAGATCGGACTTTGTTGAAGCGTCACTGCGAGATCAAACATTGTTGAAGCGTCACTGCGAGATCGGACAACGTTCTTAGGACCCATCGGTTTTCTTAACTCCAATATAATATTACTGTTAGTCAAACACGACGAAATAATATTTAAACGGCTGTGACACATAAGCTGGAACACTACCCAGCCAGGAAGTTGATAGTACGTCGACATTTGGACTATATTTTGGAAGATCAACGTCGATTCAACGTTTACGTTAGCCCATTCCAAATTGAAAGCCAAAGTAAAACGTTGTCGGGGTTCGGGTCTAAAACGATAGATTTTGACTGGAAGTAACCTTTGGTCTTAGTCTAAAGGTCTCTGCGATGAAGCGCCAGTGAGCTGATTGGTCTGTCCGAAACGCCTTTTTTGGGCGCACGATACAAGGCGTCATGTTGGAGCGCTCGCCACGCGCACCCCGCGGTGCCGACAGGAGTGACTCACTTCCGAGGCAGGTCTATATGACCCCCACTTCCAGTTGGACCACCAAAATCCGCTGTCGGCCTGCCCCCGTCACATGCAGGGGCCTAAATGCCGCAAAATACGGCACTCAAAGATTGCCAGGAAACATTCCAAAGTGAGTGGATGATTTTTTCGTGCCCTTATGTCGGGCAAGTTATGCCCTTTTGATCGCCGTGTAGCATGCCACTAAGACTCGTCGGGTGTGGGCGTGAAATAGAAAAAAACTCACAAAGGTGTGAATCCGTCGGCCAGGTAGGCAGCCGCAATGCATGTGGGCATAGGTCATGGTGCCTACTTCGTTAAGTTCGCGTGCAACATCGGCTGTACAAATTGTTTTCAGTATCAGTTTTACAGAAATAACTTTCAGTAGCAGATGTAACACAAAAGACTTTGTGTACCTCAATGTTAACATCAAGCTACACCTTGCAAGCATCAGTTACAGATAAATTTCACGGGTTTCGATTCATTCAACTTGGTTTGTTAACATTCCGTCTAACCGGTGAAAATCTGGGAAGCGGATCACATTTGAAGCCAGCTTGTTTAATTTATTTAGTACTGTATATTTGGTCCAATATATTTTTATACCGATGTTATCAATCACTCACTATGAAGGGTTTTGTTCCAGTTTGATGCTAATCACAAAAATTATTTCAAATTACTAGCTTACGAAGGTGAACTCCATGGAAATTTCACTGAACCTGCTACCGGGTGTTCAAATTTGGAGTCCACCAATCACATTCTGCTGTTGATTTACCACCCTGACGATGTTACAAATACGTTAACTCATTACTCCTGAACTGTTGTCTGTGTCCCCCACCCCAGTCCTTTAGATGCAAATCAAAAGCAATAGAAAATAAAATACGTGTCATTTTGAGTGACGCTCAGGGCAGTGTCGTTACCGTGGGCAAATGTTCCAATCATTTAAATTTTACTTATACATCCTTTTTTTAGTACGGAGTGATGTCCAAAAGGTATCAATTGGATGTTATTATAATCTAGTGAGCTGTGACTAGTAAAAACAACTATTTTACCTGAATCTATACTTTATTTATATAATTTATATTTTAACTGAATCTATAATGTGTATATAAAAATCTGACTTTACTTTTTACATGTTTTTTGGACCCTAATATCAGATTGATATCACTGATTGGGAGAACAGTTCTGTCGCCGGCTGGTAACGAGAAAGTCCAGCTCCAAAAGCAAATTCAAAATATGGCGCTAAGGCTTGTATCTTGTAATGCATTACAAGGCTTCAAAATAAGAATGAAAGTCTGCTTTATAAAACTGGAACGTCAATAGGCAATATAGGCAACGGGAACCTTTATCAAAACGGGATATTCCACCTTCGGGTACAGGGAAGGACTCTCTAATAAATAAATTCACAGGTGCTTTTCTATGCTTCAAACAGCTGCTGGTAAAATCAAAAAATATGTTTATAACACAACCAGGGCGATGGCAGTGGGCTTCTACCGGGGACGAACGGAACGGCCGAGACGGAGAAAACGGCAACTGGAACGTTAATCGGCCATCTTTATCAATATTGGAAACTTTTACCTTCGGGCAGAGACAGCCAGGACTGTCTAAGAAGCTGACTTCATATGTTGTCCCCTTCCAAAATTTTTACCCCAACAACTCTTATACACGGACACGTCCGTTATGTTACATATCGTGACTCTCAGTGTACCCATGTGGTAAACAAGAGCTGTTGGGATGTTTATGTGTAGAACGAAATTAGTACTGCAAGTTCAAGAGCACGTTGATGAAGCCGAACCATCGGCGGATAGCCTCCAGGCATGTGGGCGCGTTGAGGGACCCCAGGCCCTGCACGGCCAAGTTCGCACGGCGCGTGGCACCCGCCATGAACTGGAGGCGCAACCGTCGTGTCTTCCAGGACTCCTCGACCCAGGGACCGTTATACAAGCGATCGCTTAAAGCTGCGCTGGTATCTTCAAGCATCTGACCTAAAATGATACAGGAAGCAGATGGGCGTTATTCTGGATGAGTTCGGACATTAGGACACATCGCAATGTCAGAATTTATCGGGCACAAAAGCCATAGAGCGGGTTATCATCCGTCAAAAAATTATTCTCATACAGCCTACCGCTTTCTGCCACTTGTCCATAGCTATGGACTGACTAGTCAGGTTATATTTTTCACAGCCGATCTTGAGGCAAGGTACTACAACAGTAACAGCTATAAGGGTGCGACATAGGGTTGCGATGGCCGGTAATGTTACCGGTAACGTTACCAGAAAAATTGGTAATTTACGGTAATTTACCAAAAGCTTGGTAACGTTGAAAAAAACCGGTGATAATAACAATAACCCTACAAAATGAGTTAAAAACTCACTTTTCAGAAGCAAAAGTCACATTTGGAGCAGTAAATATGACATATTATCACCTATTTATTCACTTTTTAGAGACCAGATAGCAAATTTGTCATTAACCTGAAGTTTAAAAGGCATAGCTTTAGATAACGATTTTTATAGGTGTACTTCTGGTAACTCTATATACAACTGATGTTGATGAGAACAAGATGAAAAACACAAATATTCCAATGAGTATAGCTAAGACCGGCTATTCCGTCACTTTTTAGGCAGTACACATGAATTTCGATCGCCAAGAAATAGTATATTGCCAATTTTTCTGCTTCAAATTGAATTTTTCCAATTTTTCCAAAATTTCCGGTAAATTACGATTTTTACCGTAATTTACGGTAACATTGATTGTTACCGGTAATTTCGCAACCCTAGTGCGACAAATGGCTAACCTGTGATGCAGACAGGTACGAAGATTGTACCAATGACGGTGAAGCAAGTGAGTGCCAGAAGGTCCACCTTGAAGGCCACAATGAGCTCGACCGTCGCTAGGAGCGGCAGCACCAGGATGACGGGTAGCCACTGAAATAGCAGCCCGGCTAGAAGCAGCCGTGAGCTACGAGCTGCCTGGAGCAGCAACGCGTGCAAAGCCGCTAGCCTGCACAGAGAAGTACTGTGTATGGGTCACATGTGCCCACACAAGTTTATGTCAAGTAAAGTTTTATCACGGTGCAAAAGAGATGGAGCCTCGGCTACGTGTAGTGACGTCTTGGAGCGCATCTCCCACACCCCCCGAACTACGCAAGCTTGATTCCTTCTCACCGACAGAGAGGCCCGCTGCCACCTGCAGTGCTTCGCTCGCACTCATAGCCGAGGGCACGCCACAGCACGGCGCACGAGCCGAAGAGAACGTAGACAAGTGTCTGCATCTGATAGAAGGCCACGAGGCCGACCACCATAGCAGTCGCCTGCAGAGCGACAGAAGACGATCTTGAGTCGCGCAAGTCGTTGGCAAAATCTGCGAACACGAAAAAAAAATCATGGATATGTACATTTTCTTGAAAACTATTTCGAGACCTACATTGAGTATGTAAACGATGGTGGTTAGGTTAGAGCTATACGAGTCTAGTTTTGCTGCAGCCGCTGAGTCGCTGTGGTATACGACGGACGATTGAATGACGCCGAAGATCTGCGTTGTCCTGAAAACGGTGTAAAATACCCCAGTCCACCTTAAAATCCGAGCAGACCGTACTAGTAGCTCCTGCAAACAAAACGTTACAACCACTCTAGAACATTCAATGTAAACAGTTTTAGAATCGTCTTCACAATAGGGTATTTCGCCCGACGCAAATCGTAAAAAGAACAACAGATCATCATGAATTCTTCCCTTGCTTGACACTGACTGGCTGACGTCAACGATGTTCTTGAACTGGCCGCAAGAGGGGGGGGGGGGGGGGCTAGTTTCCGGTCGGGTCCGAGAACTTCGTCCGCGTCGGCTAGTCAGCGTCAAGGAGGAAATTTTAAGATAACTTCATACTTCGGAAAAGGGTGCGCGTGGGTATCAAAAATCAGCCCAAGATGTAGGTGCGTAGTTTCGCCAGAGCCTGGAAAACCTTGGGTGGTTTTGCGAGCAGTGCGGCGTCGTGCGTGCTTTGAAATAGAGACAATAGTTTATTGTCATTACCTTAGTCTCTGGGCAGCCAGTCTCCTCTAGCTGGGCAGAAGCAGTAGCAAGTTGAAATAATATGGCACTGCATTTCGAACCACGGCGACGAAAGAAGCGGACAACAAACACGCACGCATACATGCCTGAAAATGAATCGCAATGATTTTTTTACCGGCGCTTCAGCGACACATTAGCGTACTTGGCCATGTATTCAGGCAGGAAGTAGTGCGTAGTCTGTTGAGTACGAGAACTCAGTATTTCCTGCGTACTTGCACATATATGCGGGAAGCAGCAAATACACGAGTAGGTGCCAATCACAGATCACACGGTATACCTGATCCGACGCCACCTGTAGCTTTCAATGTGGCAAATGGTAAACACTACAAAACGATCTATGTTAATACTAAATGCGGTACGCAACTTCGAACAGCAAGAGATTGCTCAGCAGAGCAGAGAGCTAGTTTGAGTAGCCATGTTACCTAAATGATGCCCTTTCTTGCCACTCCAAAGTTCTAGTGCACTTGCCAGTAAAGTATCGCAGGGGGACGCGGATAGCCTCAGCGTCCCGTGCCAAGACCATGTCGGCTGCACAGCGCACCATCCACGCCAGTATCAGAGCCTGGGACCACTACGAAACAGAAGCTAAAAACTGTTTCTACCTGCCTTATTAGCCTAGCTTAAACACGTGATCTGGCACAAGGGCATGAGTCAAAAAAAATAAAAAAAAAATGTTTTTTTTGGTCTAGTTGTATAATATTAAGGGCCCATTTACGATCGTCGGGGTGTCTAAAATAAAATTGAATTTCAAATAAGCTATTTATTAATTTTAGGGGTTAAATGGTACCCCCCATTTACGATGGCCCTTATCTTAAATTCATTTCTAGTCCCCGCCATGACAGAATCGTTTCTCACTTGTCGTCTTTCATCTTTGTTTAGTCTTGTCTTGGCCTCTGATTGGCTGTTTCGAAACCTCGCGCCTGGAACCCGAAATTCATTTGAGCTAAGGACTAGCTTAAATGAAATGAAGATCATCACGACGGTCTCTATTTCATTTCGTGAGCCATAATTCAACAAGAAATGAATTTTATTTAGGGAGCTGCCATCGTAGATAAAGTTGGTTCACAAAATGTAGACACTGGACACAATAGAGCCCTATTGTACTCACAATGGGGACTGGGCTGCCATGGTGTCTACATTTAGTGAACCAACTGCACTCCCATAAGGCACCACGCGATGGTCAATTTAATTTAAGATTCCACAAACGATCGTAAATGGGCCCTAAGTTTTTCCGCCGAAATACCTTTAAACAAAAAAGTTGAATTTTGGAATGACGACCTTCTGCCAGATCGCCAGTGACTAGCTGTTATGATATTGATATTATACGTACGAGCAATTTTCAAAACATTAAAAGCTAAGGGTAGAGGACTTGTGCAAATCATTTGCCTAGGATACACCAATAACCAATATTAGGACAATTTTGTGCTAAATCTGGATGCAAATCGTAGTAAAATGTGCCCAAAACAAACGATTTGCACGGAAACCGACACAAAATCACGTTCTTGCTATTGCTGTTGTATTACAAAACTTTTACCAATAAAGTACCTTGCTGCGCCTAAGACGAGAATTGGCACGCTGAAGCCAAGGTTGGGTTGGTTTGTTGCGTAGACTGGACTGCCACCGAAGAAGGAGGAGCGTTAGAGCTGGACTACTCATGGCGAAGCTGCTCACTGGTAAAGGAATCACCGCAACTTTTAAATGCTCAATTATTTACTGATCACCGGAAACTATCGGCGT